AACGACCGGGTCAGATGTTCGTAGAAGATTGCATTCAAATTACTGTCGTCGACGGTCGGGCCGCGGTCGATGTGGCTAACGAGCCGCGTGTTCGAGTGATCGATGCGCTTTGTGTTGTAGTCCTTCTCCCAAAACTTCACAGGCCTCATGTAGGACATAAGGAATATCGATGAGCCAAGGAACGGATTCAGCGGGGCGGAAATCAGCGAAGACACGGCGACTATGGCCAACGTGAACGCCGAATGGGACACGGCCGTCGGCTGGGCGAAAGCGTGAAACGCTGAACCCCACGAAATCTGCCATGGTGCCACGTAGGCAATGATAAACTTCAGTTTCAAGACCATTTCTCGAAATTTCGGATAAATCATCGACAAGACATACAAAGTGACGAGCATCTGCGACCTAGCACGACGCTGGTCCAAGTAGGTGACGAACATCGTCAGCATCAATGGGGCTAAGAGATGAGCCGGACATCGGTAGGCGGTGCGCAACAGCTTCAGACCGGCCAAGGCAAGGACTACCGGTAGAAGGTAGCACTTTTGTTCGCTTGTAGACGACGGCTCGTCGCCAGCAGTTGCATATGCCGTCATGATCGACAACAACAGCGCCGGATACAGCACGTAGCGTTGAGTGACGTTGAGGTATGCGTACAGCCGTTCGAACCAGACAAGTTGTGCTATTTCACCATTGTCATACACGCTGTACTGATAGGTCTTCAGGAACGGGTGAGCAAGCAAGAGCCACGGGAAGTGCTCACGCAGATGCGGCAAAAGATAGTGGGCGAGGACAGCTGTGATGAGGGTCGCGCACGGCACCGCCTGCAGCAAAAACGATGAAAAGACGTTGAACACGCTGCTACAGTGCAAAGCAAAGCCGAGCAGACCTAGCAACAAAGATGTGAGCAAAGTGCTTCTGGTACGGGCGAGAAACACTGAAAGCCATGGCTCGCGCGCCGGGTCCATTTCCACCAAAGACGCCTTGTCGTTAAACCTTCGCAGCAGGGTCGACAGTGACAGTGATAACGCGGAGGCCACTTCCTTCACCCCGCTACTAGACCGACTGAGCACATAAGCAATGGAGATGATCGAGCCGCAGAACGCCGAGAACCACATGTTCTGCGGGAAGCCGCGCCTCAGCATCGACACTAGGGCCAAAGCACCAAGAGCTGCGACGCAAACCAAGCTTCGAATGCAGCAGAAGAAAGCGGAAGGCAGGTCGACAGTCGCCGTACCGCCAAACACATGCATCTCGACTTGTTCCAAAACGTGGCACAAAAAAGTATCCACCTGCGGCAGCAGTCCAAACGTAAATATCACCGGCAGAAACAACAGAAAGTTCACAAAGAACGACTCTAAAATGGTGGCTACAACGCTAACGTCGACGAACAGACATGATATGCAACTATGGGTGTCGGTCTCTGCGGCGGCTGCCCCTGAGGACGTCGAGGATCTATCAAAACGGTGACAGAGCAACACGATGGC